TTTACTACTAGGCTACCTCCCTATTTTTATTTCATATTTTTAGACAGGGTCTCACTAAGTTCCTGAGGGTCTCACTGAGTTGCTGAGACTGGCCTCATACTTGCAATCTTCCTGCCTCAGTCTAGCAAGTTGCTAAGATTATAATTGTGTGCCACCACATCTAGCTTCAGAGAACACATTCTTTTTGTCTACAAATTGCTGTGTCCATGCCTGAGGAAATAAATTTCTATCATTTTACATATTAATAAAGTTGATACCCTAAATATATTTTTTTACTCTCAAATGGGCATATTAAGTTCCTGGCAGAGGTATAACAATATACCTAAATCACATTTTTTAATGAGTGGCAATAAAGAAAAATAAACATATATTGAATGGGAATGTGAACCAAATAAAATGTCATTAATATGCACAATATAAAAGGAAGATGAAAAATATAGAGAAATAAGAGGAAAAGAAGCAAGGAGGGACAAATTAAAGAAAGATCAAAAAAATAAATGAAAATGAGAAAGACAAAAGAAAAACGGAAGGAAGGAAGGAAGGGAGAAAGAAAGTAAGTTAATATTGAGAATAAAATAGAAAACATCTTTATTAATTCATGTTTTTCTTAAAGGTTTTACTAGATCTAAAATTTTGATGTGTTCGACTATAATCTCTACTAAGAAAAAAATTCAGGGCTTTCTATAATGCTTAGTTAAGCAGTTGAAGAGATGTCAAAAAGGGGATTTCAGTTCTACTTAATAACTCACAAATTGACCTTATAATGACTCAAGCACATGACTTTAGTGGACTGACCATTGCTTCAAATATTGGAGAAAAGAACAAGGGGAAATTCTGGATTTCATACTATTCAGAATTTTGAGTCTATTAAATGAAATGAAAGAGAAAGAGGCAGGTAAAAAGGGGTGGCCAAAGCACAAGTGGGTGTAATGACAAGAAGATGCTATAGTCCAGGGCATATTTAGTTTTCCTACTTCAAAGAGAAGAAACATGTGGCTTCCACAAAACCCTTAGATAGGATATTTAAGACAAAAGCAAACAGAGCTGTCTATTCTTTGTTTTAATGTAAATATATTTTTATTTGTTCTTTTGAGATATACATGATACCAAACATAGCCACATCAATGTCTATAGCAGCTGAATTCACAACAGCTAAGCTATGGAACCAACCTGGGTGCCCTTCAACATATGAACTAATACTGAAAATGTTGTACATATAAACAAAGGGATATTATTCAGACATAAAGAATGAAATTATGACATTTGCGGGTAAACGAAATGGGACTAGAGACTATCATGCTAACTGAAATAAGCCAATTCCAAAGAATCAAAGGCAGTCTATTCTTTATAAAGTATATTATATTTTACCTGATTAGGAAGACCATATGGCTAAACACTGGACCAGGCAGGAAAACAAATTTGATTACTGATCATGGCCTTTCAAAGCACAATTTAGAACTGAAAGAGCTCATTAAGCACATAACTGAACAAAAAAAGAAAGACTAAAGAATTTAAGTTTGGATGACTGAAAAAAAATTCTGTCACATAGGTAGTCAATTATGTCAAGTGAAATGTTGCCATTTGTCATCATTTAGTGGTTCAGAGCTGTCATTTAATTATTATTTGTGGTTTTTCCACCTTTACTGTTTTTGCATCCTGGATTAAATTTTAAATACTTGATAGATTTTTTTTCCCTTAAATTACTATACTAGAAGAGGATCTGGTAGACTTTAATACATATTTTGTGAGCTTATGTTTGAATAACACCATAATTTTAATATTTTTCTTCCAATATTTCAGCTCTTTTGAGTATTTGTGCCATCTAGAACTGTGGTTGAGTACATGATCTGCAGTCAAACTGATCAACTGTTATCCTACAATACCTACTTTTCAGTTTTATGTCATTAGGTAATAGAATAATAGAACTTGTTATATATATTCTTAGAGTGATATTAGAAAATACATGCAACATTATACATATTCTGTCTTTTAACATTAGTTATTTTTATTCTAAATATTTTCAATCAAAATTTCCAGAACTAAAATTTTGAAAGTAGCAAACATACTTTAAAAAATCTAGCAAAGATTCTTGGCTTTAATTAAAGGAATGTAGTAGAAAACATTCATTTTTATTTATCTAAAAATAAGTGAAATAACCCAATCCCAAAGAACCAGATTTTCTGGTTTCTCTGATATGCAGATGCTAATTCACAAGGGGAGGTGCTAGGGAAGAATAGAGGTACTCTGGATTAGACAGAGGGGAGTGAAGGGAGGAGAAGGGATATGGGGGTAGGAATGATAGTAGAATGAATCAGACCTTATTACCCTATGTGCATGTATGATTACATGAACAGTGTAACTCTATATCATGTTTGACCAGAAGAATGAAAAGTTATACTCCAAGTATGTATGATGTATTCAAAATGCATTCTATCTTCTAAGGTCTTCTTAAATTACGTTTTTTATTGTTTTGTAGTTTTCATTGTAGAGGTCTTTCACCTCTTTTGTTAGATTGATTCCCAAGTATTTCATTTATTTATTTTGAGAATATTGTGAATCATACATTGCTGTGAGACTGGAAGTTGGAGCAACCACTATGGAAAGCAGTATAAAGATTTCTCAGAAAACTTGAAATGCAATCACCATTTGACCTAGCTATCCCACTCTTTGGTTTATACCGGAAGGACTTAAAATCAGCATAGTACAGTGTTGCAACCATGTCAATGTTTATAGCAGCTCACTTCACAATAGCTAAACTATGGGACCAACCAATGTCCTTCAATAGAGGAATGGATAAAGAAAATATGGCGTGTGTGTGTGTGTGTGTATGTGTGTGTGTGTGTGTGTGTATATATATATATATATATATATATATATATATATATATTCAGTGGAATATTATTCAGCTTTAAATAAGAATGAAATTATGACATTTGCTAGTAAGTGGATGGAGTTTGAGACTATCATGCTAAGCGAAATAAGCCACTCCCAGAAAAACTAAGGCTGAATGTTTTCTCTAATATGTGGATGCTAATTCACAACAAGGGGGGGCAGTGCTAGGGAAGAATAGAGTTACTTTAGATTAGGTAAAGGGGAGTGAAGGGAGGGAGAGGATATAGAGATAGAAAGGACAGTAGAATAAAACAGACATTATTCCCTTATGAACACATATGACCACATGACTGATGTGATTCTACAACATGTAAAATTAGAAAAATGAGAAATTATATCCCATTTATGTATGGTAAAAAAAGTGCATAAATGCATTCTATTTGTCATGTATAACTAATTAGAACAAATTTTTAAAAATGCATTCTATGTCATGTAGAACTAATTAGGATGAATAAAAAGTAGCACTGAATATTAAAGCTGACATTCTTGCTCTCTGATGTATTCATTCAGGAACATCACTATGTCCCATGTATAAGCTAAAGTCATGTAGCATGAGAGAGTCACAGGATCATTGTACAACATAAATATTCAAATTTGTACTGCCAACAACATGCTTTGCTTTTATGTTGTGGGAGTCAGAAAACAAAATATAACAGGGCTTGCTTATTGGAATATAAATTGAAAAGTAAATTATAATTTAAGGGGCTAGGGTTGTGGCTCAGCGGTAGAGTACTTGCCTCGCATGTGCAAGACCCTGGGTCCGATCCTCAGCACCACATAAGAATAAATAAGGGTAGAAATGAATTACAGTAGATGGGGTAGAAAGAGAAGATGGGAGGGGAGGGGAGGGGAGGGGGGATAGTAGATGATAGGAAAGGCAGCAGAATACAACAGAGACTAGTATGGCAATATGTAAAACAGTGGATGTGTAACCAATGTGATTCTGCAATCTGTATACGGGGTAAAAATGGGAGTTCATAACCCACTTGAATCAAAGTATGAAATATGATATGTCAATAACTATGTAATGTTTTGAACAACCAACAATAAAAATTTTTAAAAAAAGAATAAATAAGTGAAATAAAAGTATCGTGTCCAACAACAACTAAAAAATAAATATTTAAAAATTTAAATGTAGGGCAAAAATTCATTAAAAAATGAATGAAAAATGAGAAGGAGAAAAAAATCACTGAGTCCTGAAACTAACTAGATAATATGGAAAACTCCATGCCTCATGGTATATATAACACAGCAGGCTTTTAAGTTCACACCTATCGTAACTGGTGTATTCAGTTATAATTTATTTGAGTATTTTGGAACAAATCTGTTTTAAAAACATTTACTAAAATTAACAATGATTATCTTTGTTGTTCATTCTGGACAAATAAATGTCTACCTTTTTGAGTTCTCTAACAATAGGGAAATACAAAGAAAGGGTTATAAGTTTGAGCTCTCCTACCAAAACTGACCTGAATTTGAGTCTTAGATCTCTCACTTACTATGCTGTCCTTCTGCAAATCACTGAACTTATTCTTTAATTCTTGCTCTGAGAATAAATGAAACCATGCATATAGAATGCTCTGAGGAGTGCCTGAAACACTCAGTGTTAGATATAAATGTCAGATCAATAATTGTCATTATAAAAGGAACTTATGATCAATTATCCAATACTTAAGTATATTAGGATCAGTAAAATAAATTTTAATATATAAACTGATACAATATAAGTTAAGGTAGATATGCTAAGAAAGGGGGACTAAGGGAGTATAAACATGTAACAATTTGAATTTTTTAGAATTCCAAATTCTAACACAAAAATAGAATCGAAGACAAATCTTAAAAATTGTTTTAGGTGCAAAAAGCATACCACTTGTGGAAGATTTTACAGTATTAGAAATTACTCTGCATGGGAGATCCAATAGGAATACTGAGGAAATATAGATACAAAAATTGGCAGGTAATGTTGGGCTCTCCATTTTTATCTTTCTACATACGTATCTTTTGTCACAGTGCCTCAAACACTCCCTAGCACCATAAATACCACATAAGTATTTGAAACAGCATCTCCACGTCAGCTGGCTTTTATGAAAAAATCTTTTGTGACATACCGAGGCCTTGCTTTTTAGCTTCCTGTCTCTAGTAGTCTTTCCTTTTTTGTTGCTAGTAAAATAGTGCAAGGTTCCATATTCCATCAAGGCTGCAAAAACAAAAATGAAACACACAGAAACAAAGAGATCCATCGCAGTCACGTAAGAAACTTTAGGTAAAGACTTCCTGGCAATTGTACTCAGGGTTGTCATAGTCAAAACGGTAGTGATACCTATGGAGAGAGGGGGAAAAATAGATTAAAAACAATTTAACACACCACTTTACTTTTCCATCTGATCTGGCAATATTTTGAGCTTAAATAAACAATGGAAACAAAAGAATATGATTACCAGGGATTTACAGAAAGAATTACTGGTAACCATGACTACGCTATGTTCAATGCGCTTTTTGTGTCTGTGAATTTTAGTCATTTAAATTACTGTGGGCTGCAAATTAATGCCTGATACCCATCCTTCTCTTTCTCCATAGTAATAAAATACCAAGTTTTAAACTAGTATGTTGTTGCCTGGAAGAACAACTTTATTTGCCACCTTCTCAGCAACAGAGTGTAACCACAGGCTAATACCTAGCCAAGGAGACCTGAGTCAATGGAAGCAGTCTAAAAAAACGGTATTAATGAACTGGGAAAGGCCTTTCTTTCTCTCCCTCAGGAACTGTTCTGCCAGAATGCAATGGGTGGAGAGCCTGTCATTATCTTAGACCAGCAAATGATCCTTGGAATTCAGATCACCCATGACTCAGAGGAAATCTAAGAGCCTGAATTCCTCCTACTGCAGTGTACCATCACCTTGCACTACCTACCACTGGACTTGCACAGGAGAAACAAATACCATTCTACCTAATTGGAGAACAGTTATTGAAGGTTTTCTGCTATATGTGGTTAAAATGAATCTAAATGAACATAGAGCCTTCTTATTTGATAAATTGACTTCAACCTACTTTTTAACCACAGAGTTTAAGTATCCAGGCATAATTATTTAAAGTGAATACTTCAGAAGGACGAGGTAAAGATTTACATTTTTAGGCACTCAACATGTGGAATAGGAATAAGTGCAAGAGCCCTACCTCAGTGTCCCAGGGTGTTGTCTTTGGACATAACTGCATCTCTTTACCCATTGGCTTTCTTGTGGTTCCTGCCATTAATCTTAGGTCCTATTATGGTTTACATATGAAGTGTCTTCCAAAAGCTCCTGTGATAATCACTGAATGTCTGGAGGTGAAATCACTGGACTGTGGTAACTGTAGCCTAATCAGCTCATCCTAGTTTGAATGGGCTGAGTGGGAATTGTAGGCAGATGGTTTATGACTGGAGGAGGCTGGTCACTAGGAGGAAGCCCTCAGAGGGTACATATTCCCTATGGCCCCTTCTTTCTCTTTGCTTCCTGGATGCTATGAATGCTGTCCCACCAGGTCCTTCAACCATCGTCCTGCCTCACCTTGGTCACCTAAATCACAGATGCACTTTCTAGGTCTCTCTTTGCCTAAACTGCTACAATTTCCCTTCTTTAGCACACTATATATGGCTCTATGGTTGGCACTGTTTACTCTTCAAAGTACTACATATAATGCTAAATGCTTCTTAATTTGGCCAATATTTATAGAATGACAACATTCATGATAATAAAACAATAAAGCTGTAGCAACAGCCTCTTTGTTATGGTGAAGGCAGTAACTACCATTTTCCATCATGTTGCTGTGTAACAATTCCTGTGACATGTCCATCTTTCTAGTTTTAACAGTTCTTAGGATTGGAACAGAAAATGTCACAAGTGCGTTGGAAGCGAATACAGAATTAATCCTTGACCCACCTATTATCTTTGTAATCTTAAGGAAATTTTCTTACTCCTATGCTTCTCACCTAAAAAACTAGCACAGTAATACCTTGCTTGATACCTATAATCAATATATAAAAAGTAATTAATTTACTTATTCTTAAAATGGATACTTAGGTTACTGATTTTAAATCTTTATTCATTTCTAATATTAGTATTTAAAACTATAATTTCTAATCTAAGTAGTGTGTCAGCCTCATACTTCATTAATCACGGTTCTAATGCCACCTCTGCACAAAGATTTATATATACACCACACTGCATAATAGCAAACATTATGTCCACCTATATCCCACCTGAATTTATGCTATGTTCTATTAAAATTCAGGTTGAAATATTGTCTAACTTCCCTTTGTTCCTTACTCGACCCAAAGGTTACCTAAAAGTCCATTCTTTTTAAAATTTTAAAACTTTGAGGACATTGTTAGTTACATTATGTTTATTAACTTCTAATTTACTTTCATTTTTGTTCAAAAATATGCTCAGGAAAACTTGAATCTTTTGAATTATGTTGAAATCTTGGTTAATGTTCCATATGCATTGGAAAATATATTATGTACTGAAGTTAGTTGCTGTGTCTAGTAAATATAAATCAGTTCATGCAGTTGGTAATCTCATTCAGATCTTCTACATCTTGAATGATTTTTTTTTCTTCACTAATTGAGAAGGGGACCTTAAAATGTCCAATTACAATTGCAAAGTTGTCCATTTCTCTCATTATTCCTGAGAATTTTTACTTCAATTATTTTGAAACCAAAACTGCATTCTAAAGGTTTTGCATATGGTAATGCTAAATAAGTTCAATGAATGCAAGTATCCTTTTTTCTTCAACTTCCACACTTCTTTTTGCTGCGGTGGGGGGGGGGTGAGTAGTAAATTACAAAGACCCCATAATCAAACAAAAGAAGATTTCTCTGTCCCATCTCTACTTAAAAGTCACAGAGTCAATGTGTGCATGTATTTTATTATCAATGATTATATTAAATTTTACTTTAATAAAACACTATTACATTTCTGTTTAATAAAGCAAGAAAAACCACAGTACAACTTAGCTTTCAGAAATGTGTTTCTCTAATTTAGCAATTAATATCACAGTGATTAAATTGAGAAGACCATGATGGATTTCCTATTAAAGTACCTCTGAACTTATGCTAATAAAAAATGTTTGGAATATTAACAGGACAAGAAGAAACCAATTCAGATATCATTGTTATTTTCTCCATGGATTCCTCTGGTCAAGAGCCTATGATAATCTCCCATCAAGTGTGGAAAAAAATCCAAGTTCCAAAAGTAGCTCACAAAGACTTAAATGATCCAAGCACTGTCCACTCTCCAATCTCATCTTCTGACACTATTCAGTCAGTTCTAGCCACACCTGTCATCTTTCTGAACATCAAGCTTACCCTGACAGGTTCTTCTTGCCTTGATTATTCTTCTACCAAATATCGATCAAGTACTTCACCATTAGATCACTATTCAAATGCCACCTCCACAGAGGACTCTCTGGACAGCACACCATGGTATAGCAAACATGTCCACCCACATCTCTTGTAATTTTCTGACCATTTATTTTCTTTCTTTTCATAGCCTTTATCACTCACTGAAATGTTACATTCTTTTCAAATTTGATCATTATCCTTTTGTACATTGAAAAGTCCCACTCACACAAACACTTTATAACTTTTGTTTTTTGTTAGGACAGCACCAAGAACGCTGTTTCACAGAAAACATTTCATAAATATTAAAATGCAATGTTGAATAAATTACTTCAATAAATTGTCCCTCAACAAGATGTAAACATACGTATGAACGCTTATAAAATTAATTACAACTTCATAGGGCTCAGAATTATAAGAGGTATACTTTAAGTTTGATCTAGATATGTCTATCTTGACAAATGCTAGTATTAAAAATGCTAGTATTAAAAATATATGAATTCACGTAAATCCATAAAATTGGATCTGCTCTTTTATGACACCATAGCATATGATTTTTTTTTTAATACAAATTCAATAGTAGAAACAATCCACTCAAATTCTCTTTGGAAAAACAATATGAAAATATAAGCAAATATACTATGTTAACTTATAATTGTAATAGTATATAAAGAAACTATAATAATGAAAGTGCTTTAAAACAAAATAATTTGAAATAATAGAAAGAAATAACACTTATGAACAAGTACTTAGAGTCTCAAGGAAAAGGCATTTCTAGAGCTACATGTTTCAGGTTTTATTGCTGCCACTTTTATGTGAATTGCAGTTCACTATTTATTAAATGGAGTTATTTGCCATTTATCAGAGAATTCACATGAAAACTCTACCATAAAAATAGCAATTGTCTCAAAAGTCTTTATGTTTTTAATACATAATTATCAGTGGATAATTATTCACACACAGTTAAGATTCATATTTTAGACTGATCTTAAAAATAAATCAATAAATTTTCTTTGTGTAGGAATACATGAATATAGATCATCACTTTCAATCAAAAATATATGGTAGTTAGTCCCTGATTTCCTTAAATTATTTGTTGCTGCAATAGATTACTATAAAAAGAGAAAAAAATCCATTTTATTCAGTATGAATTACAAATTACTCTTTAAACAGCAACCTTCAAATATTCACAGATTAATTGCTCATTTTATATATTGCATAAGCTAGGGAGTTTTTTGATCCTTCTAGGTACCTGCCCTGTGGAACATCTGACTATTCATTTGAAACATTTGAGGAAAGAATTTTATATACATGCTGATTATTAGTGGTAAAATAAAACTTATCAAAATCATTGAAAATATTTACCAAAATGAGATTTAGATATTTATTTAGAGATTTTCATTTATTAATTCTTATTGTGAACTGTATTTCCTTTGACCTCCTTCAGCATGAAAAATAAGGAATTTTCTAAAAGCTCAAGTTCTTTACTTTCTTTATTTTCTACTTGTCTTTTATAGATTTATTTCAAATGGTATTTCAATAGAATTTCAGTACATTTTCCCCTTGATTATGGTCTAGAGGAATATTTCTAGTATTTTCTCCTGTAGACTTTTATTAGAATATTTTTTTAAAATCCTCTGATAATATAGCATAATATTATATATCATACCCAGTGATGTTCTTGCAGGTACTGCATCTTTATTGATCCAAAAAGACACCCAAGAAAGAACAACTGTAAGAATGCATGGGATGTAGGTCTGGATAGTGAAATATCCCATTCGTCTGCTCAGGTCAAAAAAAATTGTCATGATAATATAATCGCCTGGAAGAAAAATATATATTTTACTTTGGCTAGAAAATGCATAAAAGTATATATTTCAATTCATATACTTAAATGCCAATGTCATTCTCTACTAGCATAATTCACCAATTTTTTTTTTATCCTTACCAGAGATTGTGTGAGAGATTTCAGTTGTGTTCCGTAACCCTACAAATGCAAACTGATATAATCTCCAGTATTTAGGATCAGCCACTTCCACAGAGGGCTTTTTCCACTTATATTCAATTTCATTTTTAGGATATCCATCTGGAAGGAAAATTGAAATAAAAAATATATAGATTAGAAAGTTCCAAAGCTGCTAACATTGCAATACCAACATTATCCAAAAACCAACTCTTGGAGATTCTTCCCTTGTGTGTTATTATAAGATATACCAAATATAGAAAAAAAACTGAATGAAATATGCATGTTTAAAGCATAATCATATTTAACAGTTATTTCACCCTATATATTAATATCACAGCCAACTTATATTTTAGTCCTTGGAATTTGGGAGTGGGGACACTTCTTCAGTGATCTAAAGTATATAACATTTTATATCTCAGATTTATGTAAAGATTTTATTATATTATAATTCACCCCACAAGACTGTCAAAACCAAAGCACAGAATTCCCATGTTTTGAAAATGTCCCTAGGTCACAATTGCCTGCAAACTTATCCTTCTGAATACAACTTTTTATGTGAATTTTTTTTTTGGTGGACAAACATTACTTCCTATTTTTGATTGCTCATCTGTGTTTGGAAATATTTTAATACTATGAAATTTCTAATTGTTTCAGCACAAGGAGTTCTGTACCATATTTCAAAATCAGAATTCAAAAATATTCTAATATTTCCAAAATAGTATATTATTTTGCAGGATCTCCTATTGGTAATACAATAAATTTGCTTTCATCTCTGCTGACCTATTTAAGAATGTTTTCCTTTTTGCTCTCCAGGTCTGTGGTTACAGTGCTTTTCCACAGTTCCTATTCATTATAATCACAGAGATAGTTGAGTGAAAAGTGATAACATATAGGAATGTGAGTACAAATAAACATGGTTATGTAGATACTTAACCTCTCTGACTCTCAAGACATTGACCTTAAATTGGGGCTAGAGTAAAATCTTATACAAATCTTTGTTGTGAAATATTAGAGGTAGAGGCTAAATTTTCTACTGAGCCTGAACAGAATACCTGACAAAGGAAGTTAGGATAATTGTATTGTGTCATTGACACCCAATTGCATTTACAGGGATGGATTATTCATTTCCAGTAATGGCAAGCAAAGTCAAAGCAAATCACAAGATTTTAAAAATGTCAAATAGGGGAAAGTGCACTAAATGCTACATCATCCAATATTTACATGTCAACTCTTCCTTGATAATTCCTATTTATCAAGTCTTTTGCCCTGATTTAGCTGTCTTTATACATTGAGTGAGATATAAGATCATTAATATAATAAAATAAAATTTATGAAGATAATCCAATAAAATCTTTAATAAAGGGCAACAGAGATATTTAGAATTTACTAAGTGAAGAGGTAGGGAAATACTTATGAGTAAATACCTGTATCACAATCTACTAAGAATAGGTTCTAGAATGTAAACTGTAAAAAAAAAATACAATTGTGAAGGAAGGAAAATAGCATTAAATGATTTGTGGATACAGGCAATAGCATTTTTAAAAGTCATATATATTGTCTAATTATTTTTTAGATCAGTATTTTCCTAAGAATATATGAGAATACATTTTTGTAAGCATAAAATAAAATTAATATTGCAATAAAAATATATAACTGTTTTTTGGAATAAAATTTTAGGTTCAATTTAGTTAGTTCTAATCACTCTTGTGTTACATTTATTCCCTTTAATTAAAAAAGCTCATCTCCAACTCATTAAAGTCTTTCAAATATTTACTTTCATGTAGTAAATACTCTTCACCCAAATAATTTTTGAAACATTTTAAAATCCAAGGCAATAAATTTAGATGCTGCCTCCAGCAAAATGAATATACTTTGAATCAATTTTTCTTTACTCTGTAAAAATATGTGAAAACAAACCTATCTTAAGAATTCCTTTATTTATTCAAGCTAAGAAATATAGACTTGCATACACTGAAAGTTGTAAAGATGATTTAATAAAATGTATATACATTCACTACCTATTTATTGTTTTTTAGTTTAAAAGCAAGGAATTAATGTACTATTTGTAATTGTTTTATCTAAGAGAGTTGAATATAATCCACTCTTCTAAAAGCTGTCTTTTTTTCTCATTTTGCTTTACATTTTTAAAGAAATGATATTTGAGACTAAACTGTATGAAATTATCAAGTATTTTCTGACTTACAGCTTGAAAATTCCAGTGGACAAGAATGTTCATCCATAGGAAAGTTATGAAGCTGAAGGTAACATTCTGCATTAATTGTCAATCTATATTTAGATGAAAAGATAAATATTAAATAAAGACAATTTTCCATCATTAGACTCTCTTGTCTAATTTTAAAGCATGATTTGAGACCACAATAATGAAGTATGTAGGATTAGAATGTAATAATCTTTTTTAAAATCTCAAAGTCTTAAATGATATTATAACATTCATAGTTAAATATGAAAATTCTAAAGTTCTCTTTTCCAGCCAATCAGATCACTTCTGTATATATTTTAATAAAATCTTGGTACTTAAAAAGTCATACTTCACCATATTTTTATAATTATATTAAAACAGATTCAACTTCATGTATTACCAAAAAGAACCAATACAAAAATAATAATAGCTAAAAAATTTATAGTTCAGGATCTTCACCAATACATATGCACATATACAGGCATACATACACCAGATTAACAAATTGTACATAGTTAAGTGTTATGAAGTTTTTCATCTTAATATATCGGGAATATTTTCCCATTAAGAATGTTTTTGTTTTGTTTTGTTTTGTTTGTGTGCTGGGGACTGAATCCAGGGCCTTGTGCATTCAAGCCAAGCACTCTACCAACTGAGTTCTATCGTCAGCCCCAAGAATGATTTTTAATAAGTAGATATCTTCAAGGAAATGAACTAAATATATTTGAACCTTGCACAGCAAACTTATATGTCAATCATTTCTTGAGGAATTTCTAGTACTTTCTTAAGTATGTTTTATTAATTGAGGTTGTTTGAAATTCAGATTATACAGTTTTATAGCAAGATTGGATGCTAGAGAAAAATCTCAGTGATTTGCATTACAGGTTACTTTTCACATAATAGTAACCCTGAGATTAAATACTGCCAAAACATTTCACGATTTTAGATTTTAGCAGAAGAAAAAGAGCTACACATTTCCTAAATTTGCAAGTTGGAAGAAGGAGAAAATGCAGACACTAATTAATTATTAGTTTTGAAAATAAATTAGAGCAACTACAAATTTTTCAAACAATATTACCTGAGAGTATATAGAACTCGCCCATCATTCCAAATCCGCAGCAGGCGATTCGGAGTTGTTATCCAGTGTGCATCTGATTTTCTTGAGTTTCTGAAAAAAGTGTCAGGAATCCAAATTTTTCCAACCATATTACTGTTAAGCATGAGCACTTTCATGGTACTATTGAACTTCAAACGGCTGTCAAACCAGGTTTGGGCAAAAATTATATCAATTGTGTACTCCTAAGGGATAAAAAGAATAATAATAACATATTAGTAAAGCCACCATTTTAGGTGTTTTTTTTTCAAAAGTTTAAATTTTCAAGTTATAAAGTTCCTGCTAATTAATAGCACTTAAGCTCAATATTTTTAGAGGAAAAAAAAATAGCCATTTTCTTAACTTTTCCTTTAATTGTGTATGTGGGTTATATAAAATAAAAGTCAAGACTTCTGGCAATTTCTACTGCCTGGTATTGTTTTATTTCCTTCTAGTTTATACCTGTTATTCAAATTTTTGTCATATGTATGATGTAGCCATTAAAGTTAAAAGTAAACTCACAAATTTGCTTTAAAAAATAAATTTATCTTTTCAGCAATGTTACTAATTTGTGGTATTTATATAATGATTACATCACAAAAAAATCACAATTAAGTACAAATTTAAGAGGAAAATAGCTACTAAATTATTTAGAAGGCTTATTCTAAAAAGCTAATTTCTTAATTAAGTTTTTAGTCTGAAAAATTAACTCCAATTATTTAGGTCCACTGGTTTCAAATGTTTTCAAGTTACCACATATAAGTCCTTTGAGCAATTATAACACATGAAACACTATGTTAAGAGTTTTCCTTGTCTCATGCATGTCACTAAATCTTTCTCAATACCTAGGAAATTTGCACTACTATCATCTTTATTTTTCAGTAACATTTGCTGATTAAAATAAAGGCAGATTAATTCTACCCACATCACAGGGTTAATAATTGGCTGATAGAGAAACTGAGCCATTGCAAGACTGAATTCCAAGCTCAACTCCATATCACATACATGCTATGGTGCTTCAAAAGTGAGGCTGATGATTCCAAGACTGGACAGACTGGGCATAATCAGCAAGTAACTATTAACAAAAAGTCGCTCAGTTAGAGAACAGGAGGAGGTAACTAGGTATTATTTACCTTTGTATCCTAAATGTCTGCTATATTATAAGCATTAAAAGTTACTCAAAATAATTAATGAATAAGAATACAGTAATAGTGCTATGAAGATAGGGAATTAAAAAGATGTGTGTGTGTGTCTGTGTGTTCATAACTTAGAAATTAAGAGAACAAAAAATAAACTGAAGAATATAAGCTATTACATGAGTTACTTGTGGGAGAGCCTAGTTACCTGCCCTTGACAGGATATTTACAATCAGTGGCCAATTTGTGAAATATTTAATATAACAAATGGAAGTATAATTGGGAGTTTGATTAATGAATGAAAACATTTTTTAAAAGTGTCAGGAAGACTAATATGTGAGGGCTAAGGCTCAACTTATGAATATGGAACTTGGAATTTGCTTAACTGAAATATAGAGATAAATTGAGAGGGAAACTGTATTTCATCTATTTTCAATGAGCAATGTTGCAATTTGGAAAAGCAAATACATACTGAAATCCAACAACAGCCCACATATTATGTAATTAAATGTGATATGCTATTTATTATGGTATTATATGTATTAATATGTAATAATTTATATATATAATGTAAGTAACTGTATTATAAGTATATGAACTATTATGTATGATTTTTTTCATATAATGATGTAATATGCAATTATTCAATATATTTAGCATCTATTGCATGCTGATTATTGTTTTGTGTGGATGTAAAGACATAAAGTCTGTGCACAAAATTAAATTTTCATTGTGACCCTCTCATCACATTTTATTGGTTGTCATGTGATAATTAAAACTTTGACTTTTTTTAATGTCAGTGTGGCACAGAATCCAACTGTGCTGAAAGTATTTTTGTAACCATGTAAGCTTTGTGATTTCCATTGCCACAATTTTGCTAATATACTGTTTGTAACTTGAGTGGAGACATAAACATATGACATAATACATGCTAATGAAGCATATTTATCCAGGAGATGTTTAATTATCTTACTGAGTAATATTAATGTAGCAGTATATAATGTGTGCCGTCATTCAGTACGGCTAATGGATCACTATATACAGTATCACTGGTGTAACTAATGTTATCAATAATTCCTATTGTGGCCCCCTTCTCAGGCTTGATGTCATTTAAAAATTTTTTTAGTCAATTATGATTTATTCAGGTAGCCACTTCATCTGAAAGAAATGATTAACTCTTTAGAATCTAACAGCGAAACCATGCTAATGACATGACTTTTGTTTTAGTTGTAAATGTGAATAGAAAGAAACCTCATTGTTGTGGTTTAGATATGAGGTGTCCCCCCAGAGCTCATGTGTGAGACCACGCAATAAAATGTAGAGGTGAGATAATCAGGTTTTGAGAGCCTTAACCTTATCAGTGCATTAATTCTCTAATAGGTATTAAATGGGCAGTGACTGTATACAGGAAGGGTATGGTTGGAAGAGGTTGGTTTCTGGGGACGTGTTCTTGGAGTTTATATGTTGTCCATGGTGAGGGGAGTTCTCTCTGATTCTTTTGGGGGGAGGGGGCAGGTATTAGGGATTGAACTCAGGGGCACTCAACCACTGAGCCACATCTTCAGACCTATTTTGTATTGTATTTAGAGACAGAGTCTCGCTGAGTTGCCAAGTGCCTCACCATTGCTGAGGCTGACCCTCCTGCCTCAGACTCCCAAACCTCTGGGATTACAGACTTGCACACACCCAGCTCTCTCTGATTCTTGATTGTCATGTCCTGAGCTGTTTTTCTCTGTCACACTGTTGAGCTGTGGTATTCTGCCTTACTTCCAGCCACAGCAAAAGAGCCAGCCATCTACAGACACAGACCTCTGAAACTGTGAACCCCAAAGAAATGTTTCCTCTCCTAAAACTGTGCTTGTCAGGTCTTTTAATCACAGCAGAGAAAAAGCTGACTAAAATATTCATTCTATTGAATATCCTGGAAAGAACAATTAGTTAATGATATTTGGCAGAATTGTGTCATATTTTTGGATGGGATGAAACAGCAGAAACCGCTTGAGACACCTGTCAGGATTATGATTTGGCCACTACCCAATATTGGGTGATAGAGAGAACCTCATTTTACTTGGTAGGTATATTTAACTGCAGTTTTCCTGACTAACAGGACATTTAATGTGGTTTCTGAAACTGATTTGTCTAGAGGTATAACTTCACTAGCAGTTGTGGATACTGCTTAGAATCTATTAAATTTATGTATTTGTTTTTATGTATGTATGCATGCATGCATGTATGTATGTTGTGCTGAGGATCTATCCTGGGGCCTGCACATACTAGGTAAGCATTCTTTCACTTGGTTATTTTTCCAGCCCAGGACTTTCTTCAGAACACTGACTTCTAAAAGTAGTCAGCACTGTTGGAAAGGTTATAACTTCCAAGGAGTCAAATTTTCCTTAGCAATGCATCTTGAAGAAAAGTGAAGTTTTCAGCCCACAGTTATTTCTTCAATGTAAGATTAAAGAGTGAAAGATGCAGAGCATATGTCTTGATAATCCATCCTTCCTAAAGCCTCGAAGAGGCTAATATACCCAAGCCCTTTTAACTTGCTAATCCTGAATAAATGCTTTATTGAGATAAGAAGGTCAATCAAGTCTGAACTCTTTTGTAAGTAATCAAAAAATCCAACTTCATTTAATCATTTGTGTTAAGGGGAATTTTCAGAAAATGATCAAACTATGTTCTCATGTATTATTTTCCTATTTTGAGGTTATAATCATCTACATAACAAATAAGAAGAGGAAATATGAAATGGGACTTCTATTCACTCAGAACAAGCACAATATTTCCTAGGGTAAATGTTTTGAAATAATAAATAGTGCATTTAAAACTTGAGATCCAATGCACTTTATATGCTTTGCTTATCTCCTTGCAAGTTAACTGACAAAACAGCATTAGTGAAAAAAATGTGAGAAGTGGGTCATCCTGATCTCTAAGTTAACCAATTCAAATTATAAGCACTGAACAATTCATGGTGTCATTTTATTAATACATTGTCAGCTTTGCAACTATGCACTACATCTCACATTTTTAAAATGTTAACTCAATATTATAGTCTTTTTAGTAATCGGAGAAACTTCATACAAAATATAAGATTTGCTTAGCCAACTAACATAGATGCATACTTTCATCATAAAGTTTGATTGACCCTGATCTGATTTTTCCACTTTGCATTAAACTCTCCCTAAACTGTCTAATCACATGGTAAAGTTAGAATGGTAGGCTAAATTATGGTTAGCAGGAAATGAGATATTAAAGATAGAGACATGTAGAGAGAATGTAGCTAATCCACAGCACAAGGAGTTTTACAAATGTCCATAATATCATCTCTATTTTTCTCAAGTAAAAAAAAAAAAAGCCATGAACCCTGAATTCAGCTAATAAAGTGTTGTGTTTTTGTTTCCGGTGTTCCAATTACTTCTACATTGTGCTTGTCTTGCATGGATAACAATAGGAACTCTTGGTATGAATTTATACATAAAAATTGGGAATCCATAAAACTTAAGAAAGGTATATATAAAGTGAAATCAAAGTAGAGATTATTTTCAGTTATGGGATATTAAGACAGATTTCATGATGCAAATTATATTTAGGCTGGGGATGTGGCTCAGTGGTGGAGCACTTGCCTAGCTTGTGCAAGGGCCTGAGTTAAATCCTCAGCACCACAAAAAAAAAATAAATACATAAAATAAAGGTATTGTGTCCAACTAGAACTAAAAAGTAAATATTAAAAAAAAAGAAAATTGTATTTGACCAGAACCTTGAAGGACATAGGAACATTCAGATACATACTAGGATTAATTAATAAATGGAGAGGGACAAACAGTACAATGCAGGGCATAGCTGAGTGGTAGTGCATGTCTGTAATCCCAGTGGCTAGGGAGGCTGAGGCAAGAATTTCATAGGCTCAAAGCTAGTCTCAGCAATTTAGCAAACTGTGAGCAACTAGTGAAACCCTGTTTCAAAATAAACAATTAAAAAAAAAAAACAAGGGGATGTGGCTCAGTGGTTAAGGACCCCTATTTTCAATCCCTGGTACCAAAAGGTGGGGAAAAAAAGAATGAAAGAAAGAA